AGGAAGCTGCCTCCCTCAGGGCAGTCAAGCAAAGGGAAAGGTTTGGGGTCCTGATATGCCTTTTAAGGGGTGCCTTTAGTGATCTAATTTCCTTCCACTAGGCCCCACCTCTTAAGTATTTCACCACCTCCCAATAGCACCTTAGGCTGGCAACCAATCTTTCAACATATAGAACTCTGGGTACACTTATCTAATCTACAGTTAGAATACATAGAAAACTATTTTCAGTATTTGCATAAAACATCACTGGAAGGATATATAATAAATTAATATAAGTGATTATATTATACACTAATACAGTTTCCTGGCTCAAGCACAGAAATACTTCGTACCTGACTGGTAAATGCTCACTCCCAAATTCCCTCAATTTCCTCTACCTCTGCTCTCACCCCAGAATACCTAACTGCCCCCATGTTCCAGAAAGTGGGAAGTTAACCATGGCAGGCAGGGATCCAGCAACCTGGTACAGATGAGGTTGGGTGGTGACAGGGTGGAAGAGATACTGCATGCTAAGCCTTGGCATGTCCTTTTGAATTCTGGACCATCTAAATATGGTACCTATCTCTGATAATAAAATTTTAAAGCTAAAATAAGAAGCAAAGAAGAAATATACCAGATGGAAAAGGCAACTTGAAAGAATTAGAGCCAAACAAATGTGTACATGTGAACCACGGTGACACAAAGAAAAACAGGGCTTGGGGAATTACAAATCCTGTAGAGAGGCTTGAATATATGAGAAGAAGAAACTAGCAAAGTAAATTTGGACCACAATATGCAGCATTAATTAACTTGCATTATTTCTGCAGCAGAGACAAATCAGTTAGAGTCACTTTGTTCTTCAATTAGCAGAAATCCTTGAACAAATTTATATGTTGGAAAAATCACTCTGACCAGTCCAGAGAGAATGGTTTAAAGAGGGGTGAAAGTGGGAGAAGTTGGAGGGCAGAGATGATAAAGAGTGTGGTAATGAGATGAAAATAGAAGAAGCTGAAGGGCAGAAATCAAATGATCTTTCTGAAAAATAGCTTGGGATTGAGTGTTTTTTTTTAAAGGAAGAACAAAAGATGACTCTTAGATTGATAACTTGGTTAACTAAGAACAAAAACGACCTTTCATGGGGAAGATCTAAATGGAAAATAATTCTGAATTCTGAAAATGTAAAATGTGAATATATTGAGATTCCAACGATAAAGCATGAAATAATGTGGTTTTCAATAAAATGTTGTTATTATGCAAATGGTAATGATGCTTCCAATTTATTTATAAATGATTTACTAAAAAGATATATGCTAAATTTTACAGGAAAAAGATCTTTATATATAAATGAACGTCAACTCAAGAGTAAAATTGAAATGTGTCTCAAAGACTCTTGTGCTGATTTTTGCAAATTTCTTCCACTGAAATAGCTTGGGTGTTAGACATGTAGGAGGATGACCTCCTGTTAATGCCACTA